TTACTCAATAAATACCTTTCTTTGCTAATTATGGTTATTATTTATAACTTGATATTTTTGACTTTTCAAAAGTTGATAATCTTGCCACAAAAGATTTAAAAAATTATTTGTTAAAATTATATATAATAATAAAGGTGTAGATAAAAAAAATTTCAAGAATGACAAAAGATTAATATGGATGCCTATTACAAGGAATAATGACAATTCAACATGGGTGATAAGGTATAATTATTTTCTTGTAATATTAAGACTACTTTTCTTTGTAATAAGTTAGACTATCATAGGCTTAGATTTTTTTTTTTTTTTTTTTTGAATAAGCCAATCTTATTACTCATTAATTATATCTACTAAAATCTATAAAGATCCATCCCATATTTCATGTATTTTTTTTTGAGCCATATAAAATAGTAAATATCTTCGGAAGAAGACAAATGCCACCTCTTTCTATAGAAGTAGCTAATAATTAAGAATTTGAGGTAGAAAAAGTCTTAAATTCAAAGCAATGCCAAAATAGGTTGAAATATCTTATTCATTGGTATAGATATGATATTAATGAATGTACATAGGAGCCAATAAAAAAAGTTGAAGTTTTTCATCTATGATATCTATCAAAATCAAGATAAAATATAGTGAATTTTTGCTATATAAAAAATAAGATTCTAGAAAGATAACATTCTATTTTCTATTCTTGTATATTTATAATGCTAAGGAGATGAAGAATCAATAACCAATAGATTTAACTCAAGAGCTATTATTTCTTAATTTACCAAATAAAATATTATAATTGTTACAATCTTTAAGACAATATAATGAAGATGAAGATCGTCAAGAATAATATGTCCTTTAAATAGATGGTAAGATACAACGTGTTTGATATCACGACCTTAAAAGAGACTCCAATGTTTGGTGATTTTATTAAAAGTTAGAATAACTCCTGATGGTGTTTCAAATGTTTTATTTGAAAGAAGTTATGAAGGCCTCAACAATGCTCAAATAATAGGGTGCTCTTCTTGCCCTGATATGGGACACTTTTAATGGCTAAAATGACCTATTAACCATCTTTAAAGAGAACAAAGATCAAAGTATGTAGCAAACATAATTTATCACATCTTAAATTTTGTCAATATATAATAACCACTCTTCATGGAACTTATTCCTAGAAGAGGGAGATAATGTCATGGTGTCGTATGGCATGATTTGCTATCTGGGAATACACTGAATATCTAGTTCTAGAAAGTGTAGCTTAAATCTTTATATGAATCTTGTCTTAGCTACCAAAATTCCTTTATTTTGCATAAAACTCAAAATATAACAAAATCCCTTTAAAACATATTTTTTCCGCAAAAGGTTTTCTTGTCCCAAACTTTAGAAATTCATAACTCTTGATCTAGCCGTTCAATTTGTTTAAAATTAAGAGGATAGGTAGAATTCACCTTTATATTTTATCACAAAAAAACCAACCGCAAATTCACTCCCAATCTTTTGACATCTTAGAAATCCTAGTAGATGCTCTAAACCCTAATTTACAAGCACCCGAGCACTATTTTCTTAATATCTCAAGAATCCAATACTTAAATGCCATCAAACTTATATACAAAGTTTATTAACATGAAATTTCACATTCCTTGAAATTTTGAGCCAAAATCTTATCAAATTGCTCAAGATATAGCTCAAGACACAACCACTAGTAAATTGGGTCACTTACTACCTTTAGATTGCATATGCTGACTTCAAAATCCAATAACTCCTTTATTCCAACTTGAAATCTAATAAGTAGTATGTAAAAAGTGTAGCTGCAAAAGTGCTCTCTTTATTCACAATTACCGATCCTCAATTGTTGTTTGTATACGTGCGTTATGCCAAAAAGAGTGACAGTAGCTCCCAAATCAACACCTTAACTTTGAGCACTTGTATCTCCTTCATATAAACTTCAAATCATATAAGATTTGCACCAAAACCATAGCGAAAAACCTAAACTTTTTGATCCTAGCCTTCAAAGCTCAAATGGCTCTGAAAACTAATCCAAATCTCTAATATGGCCTCGAACAGCTTCCTCAAATCCTATTGGTTATGATTTTTGACCAATAGGAATGAAGATTTTCATCATTCATCTCCATTCATCTATATTGGTGCCCTAATTACTCCCTTTGCTACTAAAACCCTTCTTTAATCCTTTTTTTTTTAAGATTTACATAATTTATGCTCTAAACACCAAATAAAAGAATCAAAATAAGTTTTCAAAGAGCACCAATGTCTAACAAAGGTGACTCTAAATATTTAGAAGTTACTATCAACTAAAACCAATCTTAAAAGCTACTATCAAAAAGAAATTAAAGTTATACAAATTTTATAGTAATATTTTTAAACAACCTCTTCTCAAAGTAATAATCAAATTATATTCTACAACCAACTAAAATCTACTAACATAGCTCTCACCATGTTACTTAATAAATTATATATTAAGTATATAATTATATTATTTTCATATAGTAGCCAAACGACAATACGACAATGGACATATATATTTACTATGATATTTATCTATATGATTAAGTAGAAATAGATTAAAATAAATTTATTTCATAATATTTTCTAGAATAGCTTCTTAAAAGCTTCATTGATATTGTTTAGACTTTACATGTGTTTGTAGTTGATTCATAGGATAGAAACTTAGTTAATAAATTAACTACGTGTTAGTAGCTTATAGAAAAGGTTAAATATGTAGTATACATATAAAGAACTTATCTTGCATGTTAAGATACATGTCTTGCAAAGTCAACATATTTTAAAAGTCCTATAGGATATTGCCACATAGCTCTTAATTAAGAGTATATATGGAAGCAAGAGTGAAGTCTTCTTTACTCTTGTCAATCTCTTTCTAGTCTTTCAAGACTTTTTAGTCTTCTTGTCTTTGGCAATAGCTATTCTACTTTAATACTATATCTTCTTTGAGTGATTTTCAGGTCTTTTTGAGTGTCACAAGAGTGTATTGATATTTTAGTTCTTTGAGAATCATATCCTTGACACGTTGATATTATAGATGAGAAGTACTTGGCTAAAATTTATAATAAATTGATATTCATGTAAAAAATTCTATATTTGATTGTTTATACAAACTTAGAATAGTGTTTATGATATAAAATAAAGATAAGATCTTTAAAGAAAGAATAGGATTTTTTTTGTTTAATGATATTGTTATCATTGATATTGTATTATTAGCAATATTTGTAACTACTTGAATGCATTATCCAACAAAACTTAGATCAATAAATTTAATCTATTGGAATGTTAATAAGAATGTTTATTAAAAAGATTGTGTTTGGCCAATAAAGAAATAATAGTAATATCAAAGGATGAAAAAATTTATTATGTTTGACAATAGTAGTTGTGTCACATTTTTTCACTATTATTTTAAATCTTATATACCATTAAGTTAATAAAAACTACAAATACTAATATTTAAAATTTTGTCATATGAATATCTATGTTGTATTAAACAATGTTGTGATCACCTTTAATATATGCAAAAATTATAATGATAATTGAATGACAATTCAAATATTCATATGATATTTTTTTTATTATATCAAAGATTTTCTTTAAGTTAGAACTTATTTTATTAAATTACATTGTGTTGATTTATTTTGTAGAATTTTATAATATAAATTAACAATCTAAAGCTCAAAAGTGAATAAGAAATCAAATCAAAAAAATATCAAAAAAAAGGTAAATAATGTTATATTAGTTCAATGATTTTGAGGCCTAAAGTAATAATTGTTAACCACTAGTAAGTGAAAAATTAGTTCAAGAATCTATTGTATGGAATTAGATATTAGTTTAGAATTGGTGGTAAAAAGTGGGATTGTTGAAGAAATGAAGTTGACAATCATAGCAAGGCTAGAGGTTGCAATAGAATTAAAAAATATATTTTTGAACATGGTGCACAACTTAAATTGCAAAGGAAGTGGAATAAAAAAAATAGAACAAAATATGAAATGTAAGTAGAATAGGGAGTGAGAAACGTGGTACGAATTTGGCAACAGGGATTTCGTTATTTATCTTGCATTACATTTTATAACAGCGATTGCATACAACATAACGGAATGTGATGTATCGTGAATAAGAAGTTACATTAATTGACCATGTCCCCTTGTCTCTTTCGTGAGTTTACATCCTCAGTCTCTTCTGTCTGGCGAATACTCCAATTCACGGCTTACGCATTGTAACTGTGTCGGTTCTGAATTGGTCAGCTTGGAAAGGTCAGAACAATATAATCGGAACAGGACACCGCTTCCGTTATGTAAGGATGTCTGATTCCGGAAGGAAACTAGGAAAGAATCCGAATGGATTTCTAAATGTCAAGGTTCCATCCGAGAGAACTTTACAAATGTCAAAAACCAACTTGGAGAAGGTCAGCACACTCAATCATACGACACCCTGAGTTGTGTGGGGATCATGAGTTTACGAAGTTGTTTCGTCCAAGTTGCACGCCTTCCAGTTCATGTAGTAATCAAGGGCTCCTCATGAACAACCGTGCATGGCCATCTATCGTCGACGTCCACCTCAAGATCAGTAGACATGGCCGAGTCCAGTTTGATTCTTCTTTCTACATTCAGATGATGGGTTAAATAAACATTCGTTAGCCACTACTTTTCGTGGATGTTTAGAAGATTTAGGAATAAGGAAGAACTTGAGGCACAAAGTACACCTGAAGTCCTTTGAGAGGAGCTGGTCCTCTCAAAATACGAGCTCAGTACCAAGTTTGAGAAAACGAACCACACAAGGTTTGACTTTACTTCAAAGCCAGACAACGAAATTTTGTAATCAAGATTGCCGCTTGACTATGACCACTCGAACTTTGATCGAAAATTGTAAGCTTACACATTTGTCTCCCCAATTGAGAAAGATCACCTTTGTTGTGTGGAGATTGGGAGTAATGCACCCTTTCGCAAGCAGTAAAGCAGGCAGGAAAACAAACAGTAATATGTAAAGAATTCTTGCAATCTATGCATGGGAAGTGAGATTGATTACATCAAGAACAGTGAGAAATTTCAGAAAATTCTCAAATTTCGAATTGGACAGTCCAATTTGGAAGACGCGTTAATGAATTCTTGACAGAGTTTAGACCCTAATTTACACAAGCGTTTAGGGTTTGAGTAGTTTGTACAGGCTATTAGTTATTCTGTAAAATTTGTCTATCACTCTTCATCGTTGCTGGAAGCGTATTCAGGACAGACTTGTGATTCGATGTAGTCAATCACTTGAGCGCACGTAGTCATTTTTCTAGCCTCTACGTATGAGAGAACCAAGTCATACTTCTTAAGCACACTCAACACAAGTAGAACCACGTCCCCTTTCTCGAGTTTAAGGTCCTCTTCAAAATTGGCATACTCTTCGACCTGTAACAAACGGCATGCTGATGTAAATTTGGCCATGTGCTCACGAGAATGTAGTCGACAAGGGAAATTAGCTGAGAGGAGACTCTAAAACTGCAGTGAAGCAACATCCGTGACATTGTAGTATCAAAGAAAAAAGTTACACGTTAAAGTTTCTGAGAGAAGAATCGATGACTGCCCGACAATTAACACTTGTTGGTCCAGAGGGTCTATTGCGGCAGAAACAATCAATAATATGTCGATGACTCATTTACTGAAAGAGGAAAAAATGAGCAAGTTGATTGATGGTTCATTCTCAATCAGTAGGAGGAATTAGTTACTCACCTTGGAGGAATCCACAGATGGACATGCTTTCACAACAGCTAGAACGCGATTGGCGATGTCGCTCCTTTCAAGTGGGCCGGTCCTAGGATAGGAATCAACTCGCTCTGGCCTGGTACATCTTAGAGCTTTTGATCGTCTCTGCAATCTGAAACTTCCATTTTCATTGTGCACTTTGCCCTTGATGTGCATGAGGAATGTAGTTTGTAATGACCGCAGAAATGTCCTTCCAGGCTGCATGACTTCGAATTTCAACGCCTTTACAGCTGTTCCAATCCAAAAACATAACTCATAAGACAAAAATGCACGCGACAGCGACTTAACTCAAGGTAAGCACCGAAATTCAAGACGGAACATTCTAAAATTCTTGTTATCTCAACGTAGCTTTCACCCCGCTCCATAAGCCTCAACTCCCTGAACAAATCGTGAAACCGTGTAGAAACGAATGAGGGTCAGTAGAAAACATTACAGATTATGCTAAACCGCAACTTCACCAGAAGATGCCCATTTCGCTACAACCTAACCACCGCTACAGATCATGTCAACGACAAAGAACCTACATGCGCAGGTGAAGTGTTTGATGGAACGAATAACCACGGTACCCTTGAGGATTCACTCCCAAGCTATCACTTCAATATTCTCCGAGCTACTCCGATACACCTGTTATTTATTCTAGGAGCCATCACGACAACACAGGCCGTAGCAGTACGATTCGCAATGGCCATATGGTAGGTGCCAATCGTTGTTAGAATCCTGTTTTCGGTGCGCAGATCCGGTATCGGAGGCTGTGATCGAATAGTTTACCCTAGTTGAACGCCGCGAGACGAAACAGAGCACAACACCATTCAGACAGCATTCGTGTACAAAACAGGCAAACTGGATACAATTCATGTACATGCGCGGCATCCGATGCTATTGACTGCCGAATTCGCAACACTCACCGAGCATCCTCGTTTAGCTGCTCTATATGTTTTTTAAGTGGAGGGCACTATGACACACTGATATACTCAGGGTATGTATCTTACAAGAATAGCCCGACATCGAAACGAGACTCTGAGTAACTTTAAAAATCTATGTCAGCGCGGTTTCGTGCGAGGGCAATCCTGCGTATCGACGTAAATAAAGAAAGAAGCAAGGGTTACTTCTGAAACAACACAGTCCAAGTCATTAATGAAAACGCCATTCCGTTACAGCTGAAAACTACACAATACTTAGGATATACTCCAGAAAAACAACGCTATTCTAATTACGAATTAGTGGTTAAATCTGAGCACCGAAAATCGTAAAAAGTTTTTAGTGGAAACACAACGCCATGACGACTCTAATTGTGCCCGAATTAAGGAGTGCTTCGTTGGACATGATGCCAAGTTTAGTGAAGAAGAGGCAAGGGGGATTAATGTTTTGTTGTCTAGTGCATACCTGGAGAAAGAAGACGGCAGCGATGAGGCCTCGTCACAATTGCCGCAGGAAACGGGAACAGTCTCGGAGAAGAAAATGGCGATGCATCAGCAACAGCGATGTCTAGATCGATTGTGTGATTATGGAGGAATGCTATTCTATTGTAACTATGGCGTCCGAGTTCCAGTCCCCACAACGTTTTCTTTGTCCAAAGAGCGGAATCCTTCGGCATTTTCAATCTTTTTCTATCGCTGATTTCGACGTTACGTTTCGTTTACTTTTCCATGTTACTTTTACGTTACTTTTATTTTTACTTTACGAAACTAATCTGAGATGAAGTGTACTGTGGGTTTGTAATCATTAAATGATTGTTAAAGAAATACATGTTTGTTAAAATTAAAAAGATGCTTTGGTATGCGAGAACCTCGTAGCATCGAATTTGTACTAGATACAGATTTAATTATTTTTTATTTACTGAAACATTAGGAAGGTCAAACTTAAAAATCCCAAAATCATGTGAGCTCTTATATATTTTTAGGTTCGCGTTGATATATCAGTAGTGGTGCACATTTAATATAAGTCCCTGCCAATTTGAGAGACCAGTTAATGTCACCTTGGGAATGTTGCTGATATGCTGTGATATACCCCTCTTCATTTTAAAGTTTTTTACATTTCAAACTTTAAACTCGGCCTCCATGTTAACTTGTAACCCCACAGCAACCCGCTCATTCATGCAACCGCACCACAATAAGAGGTGGGTATTCTATGTAATCGCCTCGTAAAGGAGGTTATATCAAATTTAATATAACTGCTTATATCCTTTGAAATCAATGCTAAAACCAAGAAGGTGTATATCATGATATCTACCCTTTTTTTTTAAAGTTCGATCCCTCTTAGAAACTAAAGATCAAACACTTTTATTTTTTAGAGTTATGCTTAAAAAATAATTAAAATTAAAGTAGCACATTGATAAAAGGAAAATTTATTTTAGTTCAGTAGATTATTTTTGTGTGTCTCTATATATACATATATACACACACACACAAATCATATATAACAAATATAAATATGTGTGTGTGTGTACATATATATATATATATATATATATAATAAAATATGAATTCTATATACTAAAGCAATTCATTTTTATTTTTAATTTTTTTTGTAAAAAAGTAAAATATATTCAACTGAATAAAATATATTTACAAACTTTCAAGTGATGTCTACTTTTTGTGAATTGACTGTGAAAATTTATTTTATGCAAATTCTTGAATCCTTTTTAAGAAAAATAAGGCTTTATCGCCGTCTTACCAATAGGCACCTTAAGTATTCTAACTATTGCTCAAATTTAATAGCATGTAAAAACAATAAATGTTAAACATAATATCTAAAATTATTACACTATTAAATAAGACATACTGACGGTTTAATTGATTATTTTTGCAATTTTCTTTGCTCTTGTGTCACCAAAAACTTGCTAATTTTTCATATTAGCTTTACTAATTTAGAAATTCTGATCATTAACAAAACTATGAAACACATCATAAAGTTTATTATCTGATTTGTGAAGTTGCATAACAAATGAACAGATAAATAAAAACATAAAAAAACATCAATATTTAATGTATGAAAGTTTGATTGACAATGATTAATTACAAAATGTTAATTTTGTTGTTTAGGTCCATTATTTCAAGCACTAGTAAAAATATCTAAGATGAAAAGAAATTAAAATATTCTTCTTGTATTTATATTAAAATGAAATTTATTGAAAATTATTTGATCCAACATGGTTCCAAAAATAAAGCTTGTAATATGATCAACTAAAACAAGTATTTCTCGAAAAAATAATTTTTCATAATAATTTTAAAAAAAACATAAAATTTATAGTAATTGCAAGAACAGAAATAGAAAAAATTTACGAAAATAAGTTTAATAATATATATAATTGATCTTGCTATAAATGTAACTAAAATTTACAACAATCTAAAACCATAGGATTCATGTAGTTGCATCCTATATTTATTTGCTGTTGCATTTTTAGGGTGAAGTCAAATTTTATTTTATTTTTCCCATATGAATAGTATTCTTTATTTTATATAATTTAAATTAAATTTTCTGTGATTGAAGTAGATTTATTTTGGTGTAATTCTTGTTTGGATTGCATGCATTGTGATCTATAATTGCAATGTATATATGAACAACTTATTTTAAATATATCACTAACATTACAGAGCCTTTTAATATTATTTTTGTATTATGTAAATAGCTTTGTTGATAAACAGAAATATAATATAATATTATTATTAAATTATATAAAATTATTTTTTCAAATTCAAGCAATTAACTCTTGATTTATGGTTTTTTTAGATCTTTTATATAATTTTCAAAATTAGAATATATATATATATATATAGATTTTTTTTTTTCAATTGAAAAATATTTTATTTTTCTTTTAAAGCGATTAAGCTAGTTTTATAAAGTTGTAAAAAATTTCCAGGTTTTTATTTCTTTTTTTGGTGCATACCAAAGTTTATAGATGAATGATGCAGTTTTAAATCTAATTTATTGTTACTACATTCATGATAATAATTTCGATAAAAAAAAAAAAAAAAAGGAACATATATATATATATATATATATATGTATTTGGAACCCTCGTGTGTAAAATGAGTGATTTACACATCGAGAAGTTTGTGAAAGATTATAATACATTACAAATAAAAACTGAAAACACTTAAAATGCTATTTTTTTATAATAGATTTTAGTGATTGTTATTTTATGAATTAGATAATGTAGCAGACGTATATAAACAAACGCCAAATATCTTAAGCCAGTATCAAAACATTTCTAACCATGAAATTTAATGATTTGGTGTAATTAATGCTATTGTAAACCAACGTCAGAAGGACCTTGTTATATTGAAACAACATTAAAACATTGTTAACCATAATTTTTAAAATAAAATTATTAAGATTAGCTGTATAAATTTATAAATAATAATAATCATAATTTTTTCCAAATCAAAACTTGAAATCATAACAAAAATATCAATGTAACTTGATGAAAAAACCCAAATGCATGGCACAAGGTTTATGTGTACATGAGGGGAAAGAAAACAAACAAACAAAAAATGTTAAGATGTTAAAGGATTTTCAATTCATCCAGGTGGAGGTTTATGGAAATTCATATTATAGTTTGTGATCTAAATTTTTGCATGCTCTTTGATACAACAAAAATATAAAAAGCAAAAATACAGAAATCAACATCCACAACACACTTGAAATTTTTGTCATTATAGTTTACACATAAGACATGAAAAATTTAGGTTCAACTGAATTCTTCTTCTAAAGACATTTGTAATAAAACTTGCCTATCTTATTAAGTCAACTATAAGAAGAGTTAAAAAAAACTTAACTTTAGATGATTCTTTTATCTTCATAAGTAATGTGGTGTTTTAAAATGATTTTCTAACATCTGCACCAATCTACTATAAATAATACTTATAATGTTATCTATTGATATTATATAAAGCCTCAAAATCAAATCCTAGATAATAATAAATCATTATTGTAATTAACTGAATTTACAGAATAGTAAAAATTACATAAGAACTTATGGCAATATCTGAATATAAACAGTATTGAAAAGAATACATTGTGAAAAACTTGAAAACACATTAAATAAGAGTTTTAAATTTATATATATATATATACATATATATATATATATATATATATATATAGATTTTTCAATATAACATTAATAACAATTAGTTTTTTAATAGTTCGATTAACTATTTCTTTCTTTCTCTACAATTATTTATTTATTTATTTATTGCTGTTTCCTATTCTCTCCAGCTATTAAATAGCTACAGAGGTTTATGTTTTAATATATTGTTGATGTTTGTATTGTACCAATAATCATTCTTGTGCTTTTAACTTTTAGATAAAATTTATTTATTTATTTATTCATGTAAATACAAAGAAAATTTAAAGCCATATGAAATTATAAATATAAATATATATATATATATATATATATATATCATCTCAAAAGCAATTGAATATAGCAATTGATTCTTTGATTGCATTAGAATAGTTGCCAGCAATTGTAAAACCTTTGAAATAATAAAGGAGGACTCTCCATAGACTGCAAAATAAATTCATTTCTTCCAAGCTTTATTTATTTATACATACATATTTATATTATATATATATCTATATATATATATATATATAGAAAAATAGAGAGAGATATTTGAATTAGAAAATATCTAAGAGATAAGGAATACAGACTTGTTGATAAAGTTGATTGGTTCTTAGGAGTCCTTTGAAAAGTTATAATTTTTTGGCTGTTTTCATTTGAGAAGTCCTAATTAATAATAATACTTAAAAAAATAACTTTTACTTTTTATCTCTCTTTGGAAAATTAACCTATTTAAGAAGATTAAAAAACACATTTATATATTTTAAAATTTTCAAATACAAAAAATCTTAATAAGAAGTTTTTACAAAAAACATTGATATCCAGATATAAGAATTATTGTTCCAAAGACTTAACTTTAAATTTTTTTACCACATTTGAATTTAAAAAATTTAAATAAAAACCAAAAAATACCACTAAAATGTTATACCTATTACAAATTTCTACATATGTCAAAACAAAGAAGAACAAAAGAAGAAGAAGAAGAAGAAGAAGAAAAAACAAACAAACAAACAAACAAACAAAACAAACAAACAAACTAGATATATATAATATTGCCAAAGTTGATTTGTTAAAAATAATAATCCTTAATGATGAAAGGTGTAAAGTGACAATGGTCTATTATTTTTAGGATTTACATACAGTAATGTGTTGTATAGGTTATATTGCATTACTACGTCGTTGTAATAGAGAGAGTTTGCTTTAAAAGAGCATTAGGCCTTTGGCAATCACTAATTGGTCAAACAAGTTGTAAGTTTTTAAAACACAAATCTTATTCATAGCTTGTCTTTATGAAGAAAATCACATCAAATATACAACTCTTGGATGTACAAGAGTCTCCAAGATGTGACTAGATATCTTACTCTCACTTCTACTCTTATGGAGATTCCTTCCAAATTTATATCATCCAATATCTTTCAATCCAATCATTTAGTTGGATTCAAACTTTTTTATAAGTTAATTTATATCCTTAACTTCTTTTATAAAAAATATCAAC